TGGCTACTATAAATAGAAATTTCTGTGAAATTCTTTCAAAATGCTACTCCTCCTACAGTTTTTTTCTGATTTCAATATAACTTGGCACACAAGGTGATTACATTAAGATGCATAATTCTGTGCACCAGTTTTTGATTTCGATGAACGGTGTTGCCATGGTTACTAAAAATAGAATTTTCTGTGAAATTCTTTCAAAATGCTACTCCTCCTACAGTTTTGGTTCGATTTCAATATATCTTGGCACACAAATAGACTATACTAAGATACAGACATGTAATTCTCTGCATCGGTTTTTTTTATTTTGATGAGCGGCAAGGATCATTTTTCTTTTATTGCTGTTTTAAAGTTTCCCAACTGTTACTTTTCTCTTCCTTTGTTTTAAGTATAAATCAGTAGAGCTACAGTCTCGACAGAGACTTCTGGTTTAATATTATATTATCGTGTGGTATAGTAGAGCAGGAAATAAAAAAAAATACCTGATTTTTTTCAAATTAACCTTTTTAATGGGAACTTAGAGGTTACTACAGTAAGTAATAAGAAAAAAGCATCTTATTCTTATTTCTTAAATCGTTTTCATAAACAGAGTAAGTCATATGTTGTAAATGTTGGCTTGCAGTTATTTTAGAAACCTGAAGAATTCTCATGAAGCCATTTGAGCACGCATGAAAATGGAAAATTAATTATAATCACATATTATGAATGTTTTAAAAATAGATTTTAATTTTTTTTTTAAATAATATTTCACAAATAGAGAGATATCTGGATTCCTGACGTGGTACTGAAGAATGGCATCAGTAAGTTTGAGGAGCTCGGTGGGGACTTCGATCTATTACGTTGAGGTCTTTTCCGACGGAACAGTCACGTGGTTTCCAAATGAGGTGTTCGAGATCTGAAATGGATATTATACCTACTTTCCGTTTGATACACAAGTCTGTGACATTACCTTCATAAGCTGGGGTTTCACAAAGTGGGAAGTGAATGTCGCGTTATATAATAAAAACATACCAGTTGAATATTATGACTACATGGGAAACTCGGTCTGGAGCATTCAGTCCACTTCCGGTCAAGACGGGACCCCAGAAGATGATTCTGACGCAACGGTTACGTCTACTCTTCATCTCCGGCGTAAACCTCAGTACTTTGATATGAATATGATACTCCCCGTCATTCTATTAGGACTGATTAGCCCTTTGGTGTTTCTCATAACCGCGGAAGCTGGAGAAAAATGTCATTTTCCATGGCTGTTTTCCTGTCTTTTTGTCGATTATTAGCACATAAATACCAGTGAATTCAGGAAAAAAACATTGATTTTAGAAGTATATATATCATCTTTCAAATGTTTGTTACGGTAATTACCATTGTTATTTCATCTTTTCAACTTAAGCTTTACAACCGGAGGTCAGAAGTAAAGATCGGAAGGTTTTACAGAGGAAGAACAAAGTTAGAAAGGTGTTGGCAGTGTACAAAGTCTTGTTCTCAGGAAAGGTCCGAGAAAGGAAAAAATTCACTGGAACCGGACGTCGATTATGATGACGTCAGTTGGAAGGATATATCATCTGTATTGGATTTCTATTGTTTCTGGATAATTGTATTTTTAGAATTATTTGCCTTTATTACATTTTTGCTCTCTATGAATATTTAGAATTGTAATGCAAAAATGAATATTCAATATCCAGATCTTGTTATGCAAATATATTACGATCGATCTGCATTTTGTTCTTATATTTTGCACACATGCTTTTCGATACACATGCTTGAAATAATCTTTACAAAAAATCCTTTACGATTCATGAATACAACAGACCAAAGGAATTTTGAGTTAAAAAGGTAAGAGCGATTTTAGATTTATTCAAAACATATTACAGAACTGTTTATTATTTCTTTATAGATTTGCCAAGTTGAAGCGTCTTTTTGTCCAACTTTGCCCCGCAAACTACAGGGATATAGCAACAGGGGGGGGGGCAGTTTTTTTCCCAACATTACCTTTACTATGCAATAACTGTTTGTATATTAGTTATGAAATACATTTCTCTTAGAAAATTACTAAGGTTCAAGCAACATTTTATTTGAGTGAGCAGAAGGTTTATGATCCTTAAGTGACATTTGGTGGTTGAAAAGAATTCATACGTTTGCATTATCTTATTTTTTATCATTATAAAGTTGGAAGAACTTTCCGAAAGCAGTTTCAGTAACAGAATATCCTCTCGTCATGTGAATCGGCCACATTATGACCTCCGACTCCCTAATAAATTCATTCAGAGTTGAACATATATTAGAGAGTATGAGATCTTAACCTGGTACGCGTATGAGTGCGTATGTTGCAACCACTATTGAAATACGACCACTAGTGGTTATGAGTGCATTTCAATAACAAACATGTAGGTTGTAACACGCACGACCACTATTGAAATAACTACATGTGTATTTCAATAGTGGTTGAGAGCGCAATACCAAACATAGGTTGCAACCACTATTGAAATAATGATCACTTTTGAAATAAAGATTTCAATAGAGGTTTTGATTCGTGTGACCACTATTGAAATAACGCCTACCATTGTAATAAGCCTAATACTAACTTCCTATGAAATTTTGCTTTTTAATGTATAGACGAGTACAGATATTGGCTTTATTGTCCATATTTGTTGTGTAAGTAATTCCATGAATAAGAGCGACAATTTAGATCTATTCTATGTTTTTTAAAATTAAAAATAACCATATTTTCATCAGAAAGTTTGTGCACAAAATTATCAGTCTTCCTTTCAATGTAGTCTAGATATTCTAATGTCTACATCTAGAAGTATTTATGATCCTTTTCTTTTAAAATCCATTATGACAAAATGAACTTTATATAACAAAAATATTTCAAAATTGCATATTATTAATTGACTGTCTGTTGGTTTTCGCCGATTCGGCCAGATTCAGCGGGAGCTTGCTTATAACATTTGCATACATGTTTGAATTATAGATTGGTCAGTTTCATAGAAAGTGTCCGTGTATTAATTGAAATTTCTACAAAAAAAGAAAACATAAAAAAAAACTTTAGTTATCAAATTTTAAACTCAATAAATTAGTTTAATGTGTTGAGAACAGAATGTGTAATTCATCCTTCTATTTGTTTTAATAGTTGGGATACTCCTATAAAGCTTGCAATGTGGTTTTGGTATTGAAATCATTGTCAGCAACTATCAAAGTAATCATTTTAATATCTTATGAAATCATCGTTTAAAGCACGATTGAAATCAATATTTCAATCACTTCTGAAATCTATATTTTAATCACTATTGAAATCTTTATTTCAAAAGTGAACAATATTTCAATAGTAGTTGCAACCTATGTTTGGTATCGAAATTCACTCAACCACTATTGAAATAATTATTTCAATAGTGGTTGCAAAAGGCCAGGTTTTTTGCATTTTATTGACACGAAATAACTCTGATTAAACGATTGTTCATTATATGTAGCACATGTCACTATCATAAATGAATTACTACAGAAAGTATAATCCATGATCCTAAAACATGTCTTTCCGCAGATATCGAAAAGAGTACTGGATTACTATAGAAACATATAATGGATGCACTTCAATCTCTGCTCCAAAATTTGTATTGTTTGATGGACGTTTGAGCTTGAACACTGTTTGTTATCTCCATACATTTCATTGTGGCAATAAAAACAGTATATAACATCAACAGATTTATTGCAAATCATTTTTTAAAGCAGTTTAAAATTACATCACATGAACTAAAACGAAAATACTTTACAATGTGAAAATAATTACCAGTATTTAGCCAAATTAAGATGAGAAAATTTGGAATGTTAAAAATAATTATTTTACTTCATATCAAAAGGTTTTTCAGTCATATTAAAAAAAACAAACATACTATACACAATGTTAATGAGGCACATCAAGCATTAGATATAATGATTCCATTATTATGCTATATAAAATGATTTTAAAAATACTGTAAACCAACTATTATCGCGTCATCCTTTGTGATTTGTCAGTTTGAAATCAATCTGCAACGATTAATTTTTGCGACTGATGAAATATTTTCTACAAATACAAGCTTAAAGCAAAATAATGGTTCACGGGGATTAGTTTGCGAGAAAAAAAATATGTCGCGAAACTCGCGGATATTTATCGCACATGAATAAAAGTTGGTTAACAGTAACAGTAACTGAAGTCTTTCTGTGTTGTTATATTGTCCACAATTCATTTCTGATCTAGACAGGTGAGAAGATAATCATCTTGTTGAATTCAGTAAGTACAATGTTCAGTATGAAGAGGAATGGGGTCTCTTAGATAGTGTCAATTGTTTTTTGCTACAATGGTTACCAATAATAACAACAATCTCCATAAATGTAGCTATTGGGCGATACCTATCTAAAAAGGGTCATCCAGTGTTCAACAGAATGTTTTTCTAACATCTAAGCTCAGTAAGGCTTAAAATCAATTTGAAAACTCTCATGAAGCACATTAACCTTTTTTTGAATATTTACAATTTAAAAAAATTAAAATTGCACAAAACATAATCATATCGTCAAGAAAATAATTAAAATGTGCAGAAAATAACTAAAATTGTATAGAACATTCAAAATATAATATGTCTGGAATGCTTACAAGAGGACGGATTTGCTGTGGAAAAAAAATAAAAGAAATTCATCCCTAACAAACAATTTATCAGTAGATTGACCGATAGAGAAATGAGGTCTTTATTTACACTCCAGTAAATATAAATTCAGAAAGTGAAAACCAATGGAATATTTTAACAAGAGGCCCAGTGTCCACAACGCTCACCTGAGCACTCTGGCTAGGAAAAAGCACTCTGAAATCAGGATAGTCTTGAAAAGGTGGTTCAGGGGAAGGAGGAGGGTATGATTGAACTAACTTGAGTCTTCACTTACTATCATGGATGCTTTTGAATTAATATAACACATAATTGGTTTTACTGTTCTTAAGAAGGAATTTTTTTTATTTTTTCCTTAATGCCTATGATCTGTTATGGCCACTATATTCTCCTGAGGTGTCACGATTTGATCAAATTTGAATCTACACTACCTTACTAGGATGCTTGGATATAATTATGACCAATCATGGCTTAGTTGTTCTTGAGAAGAACATTTTTCCTGTGTAAAAATTTGATTGCCTATTGTGGCCCCATCCTACCCCAGAGTGTCATGATCTGAACAAACTTGAATCTACACCTTACAATGATTCCACATAATGATCATATTTTCAAGCACAATGATTCTTGAGAAGATTTTTAGATGTTCATGAATTCATAATTATCTCCCCTTGGAAGAAAATGTGAACCTTGATTAGAACAAACTTGAATCCCATTTACTTTGCAGCAAGTTTACTTGAAATTGGCCATGTGGTTCTTGAGAAGAAAACAACACAAACAATGACAGACAATGCAATGGACGAATTTTAACCAGAAAGTTCACTAGAGCTCTTGCCTCAGCCTCAGGTGAACTCATAAGATCATAAAAGATGAGCGATTTAAATACGAATTCTCTACACTTTGATGTCCTCTCAAACCTTAAAAATTCAAACAGCTTCCGGTAATCTTAATATGATATGAGCTTCAAGTCAAATCTTGCTCTGTTTAAACAAACAACTTTGTATGGATGTAAAAAAAAATTATATAAAAACTTAACTGTGTCCCATCTTGATGGATAAAACATGTTACATGTATCAATTTTGTTCGATTAATGGGGGAAAAATGCCGAATTAAAATATTTCATTTTTAGCCAGCCTGGAATGTTCAAGATGACAATGTATATGTTAATATCACAGTTAGTCAACATCAGGGGAACTGATGTAATAAATACATAGTGTTATTCTTAATTACCAAAAATTACAGTATTTTGAAGCAACACACGTGCACACACACACATTTAAAAATCAAAATGCCTACACACTTCTCAATGAGTAGATTAAATCTGGGATATAATCAAGGTCTGCATTCACTTAACAAGATGTATTATGTGTACAAGTACCTGTCATTCTCACATTCAACTTCATTATATTAAGAAGTGATACATTTTATTATGCAAAAATAACAGTTTGAAATAAAAACATTAACAAAACACAAACAGTGAAAAGAAAACAAAACAATTTGAAGAAACTCATTGTTGTTGGGGACTGTGGTGATCTTTTTGATTGTCCGTTCACCAATCCGAGTTATAGGGAGGGGGGTTAGACAAAGATGAAGACGGGTCATGGTGTCCAACCTTGTTTCTGAAAAGCAAAATGTTACAAGAAATAATTATTCATTGTTATAGAGGCAAAATTTTTTTATTACTACTGTGCTCTCAGGTAATGTTCCATTAAAACAGCTAGACATTAAAATCTGAGATGCTTTTGTCTTTCGTTTCTATGGACAAAGTAATACTTACGATCCAAAATATGATCTAGAACCTGCCCTGTAACAGTGAAAAATAGAGAATTAGTAATGAACTGATAGAGGAAATAATTGTACATATACATGTATATTACTCAATACTATAATCAGCAATAATTTTATCAAACAATTTATATTACCTAATTATTATGGTAAAAAAAAGGATTTACGTATTAAAAATCACAGTCTGAATAAGGAGACTTTAAATTACGAAGTTTTTTTTGTTGAAAAATTAAAGCAGAAAATTGATCAGTTAAAAGCAATAAAATAATTAACAGATGAATAAAAGGTGTGGTTTGAATATAGCACAAAACAAGTTGGCTCAAGAGTAATTCTTCTTGTTTTAAGCATTCATTCAATAGTAAACTAATTATTAGCAACTATACTTTTGTTAAAATTAATAAAACCAAGCAAATTTATGCTAAATTAAAAAGCAAACTTATTAAACCCTTTACAGAAATAATCAACATACAAAGTTAATTACTTTATGTTAATTACTTTATGTTGTATTGAATCTAATATACCTAATCTCAAGAGAAACTTTATTTAACAACATGAAAAACTTGTCAGGTTTCAAACATAATTTAACCACCTGCCATGTCCATTCATTTATTAAGCTTTCTCATTTATATATGTATTAAGATTTCCAGTCTATTCCACTTAACACTCAATTGATGGCCTAAGCCGCCTAACTAATTTGCATATACCACAATGCTGAGTTATGAAAGAAGTTGACAGTGAAGAGACATGATGAATTTAAGTTTAAGTAAAAAAGATATAGCAAACAAAAATATTTACTAACCACATATTTACTACAACCTAAAGTGAATCAATATCATTAATCTTTAAAAACTATTGCTTAAATCCTGAATATAGCATTCATTTTTTAAATCAATTCTTACTTTTGACATGGCAACCACATAAAATTGGCATTGTTACAGTCATTTTCTATGTTAAGAAATAAACAATGACTGATCCAGAAAAAAATTAAGAATGTTTCTGCCAAGAAGTCAAAATTTTTTTAAGTTATTAGCAATGAAGTGAGAGGACAATTTTGCTTCCACCCAAACTTTTGCAAGGCAAAATTAATTAATTTTTCCCTTTAACTTTGTTTCAAAATTTTCAGTTTAGAAAAGGAATTAAAATGAAAACTTCATTTGAACCTGATTACACATAATTACATTTACCTGTACACTTTTAAATTCTAAGAAAATAGTCTGAAAGCTAACTTTATTTTCCATGTTTCATAAAGATATCATAATTACACCTATATACTTGAATAACTTGAGCAAAAATAAGAAGTGAGAGAGTTTATATTTTACATCTTCTTGGCTGAAGAAATTTTCAAAAACTTAAAAAGCTTGTATATACCAGTAATATGCATCTGAAATCTAAATTCAAGCATGCCTAAAAAATGTTTAACTACTTATGAGACTATATGAATTCATTTAATTGCTAGTGTACATAACTACATATATGCATTTTTTTTTTACATGGAGCAATAAGTCTATAGGAAAGCCATATTAATTTTAATTTCAAAAACCAGAAATCCGATTAAAACACAACACTGATTGTGACAGTCCTATTTACCGCTTATTATTCTGGATGCACTCTTTTGTGCCTGTGCCCTGAGGACTTCTTTTTCTTTTTCAAGTTATCGCTACAAAATTGTCAAGCTTCATTTATATCTTCGATCAGCTGTTGAAACATTATTAATTTTAGTTGTCTCTCTCACATTATAAAAGTCATTTCTACCCAAACACATGAACATTCTCATTCTTAATCCACCATCCCTTATACAAAATACTTAGAACAAACATGCAAAACCTTGACAACATCAACTTTGTGGAATCATCTACTATATGTACTAACTTCATTACTCTGACCACTGACAATCAATATATTCAAGCTTTGTATTCCTCATATATAAAGCCAAGGTATATGATTGGTATGTTGTTGCTACAGGACATACTTCACCAAACAACAACCAATGGGAGAGAGGGAGAGGGGGAGAGGGGGGGGGGTCATTTTGCAGAGTGTTTGTCAAACCTTGGTCTTCCCTGTTTGGCATGAGTCAAGAATTGCTTTAAATATTGCTGTCTTTTGAGGTATGTAGTTATGGTTCTATAAATAAGAAAGGAGTGGGAGAAGAATATCAATCAGTATTAAAATAAGATATATTTCCCTATACTGTTGTACCATTCTTGGTGTGGGCCATTGTTATATTTCTGTTGCTTGAACATTTTATGTTTTGCCTTCCCCACATACAATATGAAATTCATTATAAGGAATATGTATCATGGTTCTACTAATTTAATTAAAATACATACACTAACTTATGATTACAAAACACAGTCTCTGTTGAAACTAATGTAATATTCAATTATTTAGGGTCATAGTATAAAAAAACCAAAACAAATTGATAATAAAAATGTAAACTTTAACTGAAATTAAACTAACAATGAATTTCAATTTCAAAGGAAACCAACCCTATACATACTGGTCTCCGGCTGAAAACAGAAAGTCCTAATTCCTAGTCAAAATCAAAGTACTTAGGATTTATTTATTCATTGCATATCAAGCTTGGGTTACAGTATAATTGCTCTGGTTTGGTTTTGTTGTCTGTAAAGATCCTACAGTATAAGGATGAGACTGGGTTTGTGATAACTTGTTTATATAACCTAAGATACCTATAATAGAGCTTGTTTTTATGACAAATTGTTTTTTAGGTGAGAGCCAGGGAACCTTAACCATTTTAATTACTGCACCATGAAGGAGCAGCCTTAAATAGATGATTATCAATATCATTACACAAAGGTAGAGCCAGTTAGCCATGTCAACATTAACATGCTGTAACAGGTGTGGTCATTCCACAGAGAAAATAACAATGTCAATCATGCATACAATAGTATATATATAGACACATTTCTGTAAATATAATTAACATTGTGTATGTCTTTTTAAAAATATTGTGGAAAAGACAGTTATATATTTAGAAGAAAACTGACTAAGTAATATAAAATTCTCTACACCGAAACCTCTAAGATATCATACCTGCTAACTTCTGGTAGCTGTAGTCCATTTTTTTACCGTCAAACGTTTCTTAAAAACAGTGCAAACTATCCCCGATATGATGTCCTATAACAAAGAAAAAATTAAGCTGTAGCTAATCCAAATAAATATAGTGCAAGTGCACTTAGTATGTACTATACACAATAAGTATAATCATAATGAACAATAATGCAAGTTCACTACTATGTAAAGTCAGTAATTCAACACACATGTATATACATCTATATAAGTGTATACTTTATATAAACACTCTTTAAGTAAAGGGAGTTTACTTATTTATTATTAAGTTAACATCTATAAGCAAGTTTGTCCAGTAAATATAAGTATACTTGATATGCATTATATAGTTAACTACACTATTACTTTTAAATGGTTATTTCACTTAGTATGTTCTCTATAGAATGAGTACTTAGCATTTTCACCTAGAATTATGTATAAACTAGAGGTACTGTGAGCAATGAGCTCACTAAATAATACCCCCACCTCCCATATGAATGTAATAGCAGTGTCCTTGTTTTGCTCTGGGAAACCCAATATATGAGTTGGATCAAAAAGTAAAATAAGAGGTGCACAATGGCAATATGTAGTAAAGATTCTGTGAAAGTCTCATCAAATTTCATTCAGTGGTATGAGAGGAGTTGAGGATAAGAGATGGGTACCTAAAAGCATAACAGCTATACAGTTGAGAGGTACATTGTGCATTTTACGGAAGGTGCGGGGTTATCATTTTGCTTTGTGGGGTTATTAATAGTAGAGTGGTGACTTGAGAGGTTTCATTAGGAATTCAAACAAATGGTATATTGTGGGGTTAAAGGTCTATATTTGTGGGGTTAAAGATCTATGTTTGTGGGGTTAAAGATCTATGTTTGTGGGGTTAAAAATTAATTATACTCTTCAAAAAAAGAAACGCATAGTAGAATTTTAGTGACACATTGAACATAAAGATAATTTAGTAAAATGGAGCATTGATAAAACAGAAATGTGGTAAGCTACAGGAATACTATCTAAATGTCATAATTACTCAACAATTTTAAAATTATAGTCAGTTTAAGACCATTAAAGATCAATATCTGGTATGCCCCCCGCAGACACAAATGATAGCCACAAACGGCATCTAATGGAAGCAAATGTGTGTAATATAAACTGTATAGGAATACTCTCCCACTCCAAATGTAGAACTTTAGTCAGCTGTTGCAGAGTCTGGGGATTTGATTGTCTTTGGCAACTCATGTCAATCCATTTTGTCCAATGCTGCTTAATTTGGATTAAATCTAGCAATTTAGATGACTGTGACCCAAACAGATTGTTGTTTCTTTGCAAGAATAGGTGTGTCAAACGAGCCATATGTGGCTGTGTATTGTGAGATTGCAATACGACTCTAGGATGCTGCAAAATTGAATGGGTATGTGTAGGTAGAACATGGTTAGAGTACCTTTTTCCATCAAAGTCCATTGAATTCGAACTAAATCAATCTTACTTTCTTATAATACCGTTTTCCATATCATTACACTACCACCAGCAGCATTTTCAACGTCCTGGAGGCAGTTATCTGTCTAACATTCATTACAATGTATTAGCACTCTTAAACTTATAAGAGGCTTTCAGATAAACATTCTGGACTAGTAGGTTAAGTAAAATGTTCAGCAGTGATGCTGTGGTCATACTCTATTGATCTGAGATCTTTGAAGTCCATATTTGGGGTGCTGAGGGATCGGAACAATGGCATGAATAATCCTCTTGCAATAATTCGTAGTCAATTGAAAACAGTCTTGTTAGATGATCTGTGCAGTTCAGGGATAGCTAATGCTTTAGATGACGTCCTTGCATTACATTCATGCAATTTACGTAATACCCGGAAGTGATGCTGTGCTGCTGATGTCACACGTAGTCTACCATATTTTTTGCGAATATTGAGTGTTTGATATTAATGGTTTATGTTTTATAGGTTATATATGTTCTGTGTGTAACATTAAAACCTCTTGCAATTGTAGATTGCGGTACCCCTGCTTCCAGTCGTCCATTTTCCTTTTTGTGCCACGCAAAATTTAGATGCAGCAATTTTAGGAAGCGTCATTTTTAAGATAAAACCAGATTCAAAATATCGAGAACCCCCGCTTTTGATAGACTCTTTGTACCTGAAGGAATTGCATCGGTATTCAACAAATGAAAATTGAGATCAAAGTTTTGGGGGAAATTTTGCAAAATCAGGTCTTTTTGTCTGTGAGACTTGTAGAATAGCTGTAAAGTTACCAACTATATTAAAAAATCATGCATTTCACTCGAATACATCGTATCCATTGAAAAATAAAAGGTATGACAAAACTATCATACATTTTCAGGGCATTGTTCCTACTATGCGTTTCTTTTTTTGAAGAGTATATTTAATATCAAGTCAACTTCACAGGCAACTAATTATAAGTACTTAAAATTGTTACTGTTTATCAGAAGAACTTAGAACGGATATAGCAATAACATTTTTCAACAACTGCATAGCAGTAACAATGCAAAAAAATGTTTTTATTTGAGAATAACTGTTGCATCAAAGTAAATTAACCCATCATGTTTTCACATGAAGATGATAGACAAGAATATCCCAGAAGTGTTAAACAAACAACCCCACTATGCTATATAGATATAACAGACAACACTAACCCCATAAATTATAAGACAAACAACCCCAGTATGTACTCTTTAAAAGATAATAGACAACACTAACCCCATTAAGCGTTTGGACAGCAACCCCACTATGTACTCTCATAAAGATAATAGACAACACTAACCCCATAAAGTGTTTGGACAGCAACCCCACTATGTACTCTCATGAAGATAATAAACAACACTAACCCCATAAAGTGTTTGGACAGCAACCCCACTATGTACTCTCATAAAGATAATAGACAACACTAACCCCATAAAGTGTTTGGTCAGCAATCCCACTATGTACTGTTATAAAGATAATAGACAACACTAACCCCATAAAGTGTTTGGTCAGCAACCCCACTATGTACTGTTATAAAGATAATAGACAACACTAACCCCATAAAGTGTTTGGACAGCAACCCCACTATGTACTCTCATAAAGATAATAGACAACACTAACCCCATAAAGTGTTTGGACAGCAACCCCACTATGTACTATCATAAAGATAACAGACAACACTAACCCCATAAAGTGTTTGGACAGCAACCCCACTATGTACTCTCATAAAGATAACAGACAACACTAACCCCATAAAGTGTTTGGACAGCAACCCCACTATGTACTATCATAAAGATAACAGACAACTCTAACCCCATAAAGTGTTTGGACAGCAACCCCACTATGTACTCTCATAAAGATAATAGACAACACTAACCCCATAAAGTGTTTGGACAGCAACCCCACTATGTACTCTCATAAAGATAATAGACAACACTAACCCCATTAAGCGTTTGGACAGCAACCCCACTATGTACTCTCATAAAGATAATAGACAACACTAACCCCATTAAGCGTTTGGACAGCAACCCCACTATGTACTCTCATAAAGATAATAGACAACACTAACCCCATAAAGTGTTAGGACAACAACCCCACTAAGTACTTTTATAAAGATAATAGACAACACTAACCCCATAAAGTGTTTGGACAGCAACCCCACAATGTACTCTCATAAAGATAACAGACAACATTAACCCCATAAAGTGTTTGGATAGCAACCCCACTATGTACTCTCATAAAGATAGTAGGCAACACTAACCCCATAAAGTGTTAGGACAACAACCCCACTATGTACTCTCATAAAGATAATAGACAACACTAACCCCATAACGTGTAACAACCCCATTATGTTCTTATATAGATAAAAGATAACATTAACCCCACAAAGTGTTAGACAAGAACCACAATATGTTCTGATAGAAAATATCAGACATCTTAGTAACCTCAGAGTGTTAAACAAACAACCCCGCTGTGTTCTCATGTAACAGATACCAGTAACCATATGAATTTAAGTGTTTGAAAACCCCAAGTATGTTCTAATATCAAAAAACTCTACCAGGGACTGGTAATAAAAGAACAAGTACCCCCACTATGTTCAATCGCAACTTCTCGAGCCTTTCTGACTAGCTGACAAACGACCTCGAATGTATTAGTTAGACGCCATGGCAACAACCCCCCCCCCCCTTTCATGATCTTCGAAATAAATGCATGAAGACCTTTTATCTGTGGAATATGGAGTTTAACTTTATTCAATGCTATGATATTACATAAAATATACTATAAAAGGGACTTCTTAATTCCTCTATCCTATATTTGAAGAAAAAACAAGAAAAGCAAAACCTTTAACATCAGGTGATGTTAATACATTCGAGGTTGTTTTTCCAAACTCTGACGGAAAGACCCTGAGTGAGATGATGCGATTGCCAGTACGTCATATCCTTTTGTTTTTACTATTAAAAATACCAAACAATACTCATAATCCTTTTTCCTATTTTGATAACATACTCGAAAATTTGTTTTAAATATTTTTCAAACTATTTTAAATTGGATAATCTCTTTATCTTTACTGCTTATTTCTAATGATAATTTTTCCTTTGAATCTGCTGGTGCATGAATTTGAAGTGTACATTATGCATCAAAAGCATACATAATTTCATTGTAAATTAATAATAATAAATAAAAGAGATGATCCTGATTTTTTAAAAAAAATTTAATCAAACTTTTCAGTTACTCGACAAGTTGAACACAGATAAGAAACATGTCAATAAATGTAGAACACAGAAAAAAAAACCTCAAAATTTGAGACAATCTTCATAGATGTAAAAAAAAAAACCAAGTATATAGTGAGTTGTCAAATAACTCTAAAACTTGCATGTTATTGCTACTTATTTTAAACAAAATATATTAATTAAAATGAAGTTTTAAGAAAAAAAAGTGTAGTCTAATATCTCATCATTTTGCATTTTAAAATTGATCTTAGACAAAAATAACGATGTACATCCTTTTGGAAAATATACTCAAACTTAGAGCTGCACCCCCACTCCCATCCCCTAAAATAAAATGAAAAAAAAAACCAACATGCAATTGATTTATAATTTTCAAAAAATTAAAATCAAACAACATAAATGTACATTTCAGTTTAATAATTATTTCTCACATTTAAAATGAGATCGCTAATTAAAAAAGACGAAAACTATGACTGTTAATGTATAGAAATTCGCCATGCCGAATGCAATGTTCATAAAAGATCCTTTTGTCTTAAAGCTGAACACTACTCATAAACATAAGTAATCAGAGATTACATAGCTCAATTCAAAAAATGATTACTTCAAGTTAACACGGTCTCACATTTAACTAATAATCAAGAAGTTAATTTAAGGTTTGCAGTAACTTGAGAATAGACATCCAAATACTTGAAACTAGTTGCCCATCAAGAAAATGTAATTCAAATCCACGACCCATGTAAATGTTATCTTTTTAGATTAACTTTCAAAAATCGATTCATCTTCTTTTTCTGAAAAGTAAGTCAGGTCCTGAATGTCGCCGTTTGGAGAAGGCAATGGCAAAAATGAATCGGGATTGTGCTTGTTCTTCTGAAAAGTCTTTAACTCATACTTCATGTATACCTGTCAAAAAAAAACAATAGTAAAATACATTTCTAAATGATAATGTTGAATTTTTTTACAGGTTATGTTTTAATTTATTGTAAAATAATATTGTTGTCTTGATTTTATGGGCACTTATAACATATACTAACCACCGATCTGGATGTCTTTAATAGTTGCTTTCCTTAAATTTGTGAACTATATTCAGATCACAAATTGTGTGTTCAAGTCAAAGGTTTGTTCTTTCAACTTTATGAATGTCCGACGCCTGCTGGTGTTGCTGCAACAATAGAGTGGCCTAGATCATCAAAGTTCCACTGATGTTCACTTTCAGTGGTATCTGAACTCTACAAAGGAATACAGAAGCAAATGTTTATTTATAACACACACAAAAATTCCGAGTTACTAATTAAAATTCATCGAAATTTATTTATAGCATAGTTGTCATGTACTGTGAACTACTTTCTTATATTGGTAAAAGGTGAACTTGTTTTAAGCTTTGGGAAGTCCAGAAACTAGACAGGTGGCCTCTTATTCCAGTTTGCCAAAGAAGTAACCAGTCGGTCAATAAATAAACAGCAATAACCACTACAGTTGATTTAATTAAACATGTCAATTTCACAAAACCTTTGTATGTGTGTATATATATATTAATCCATGCTTATTTAAAAAATATCAAATTAAAGAATTCCAAATTTTTAAGGTTTTGTGCATGTTCAGTGGCGTAGCTACCATGTATGCTTGTATGCTCGAGCATGCACATCATTTTGAAAAAAAAGATAATGAGACTCTATGACTTGACTCCTTCTCAGTCATGTACAAATTAAATTATAACTGTAGTATCAAAAGTTATGTTTCTTCTAATTTTCTTTACATGTACACTTGCGTAGTTTTACTACTTAAAAAAAAATAAAGTCACTGACACTGTAAGTTCGAAAACCATTATGGCAGCTACCGTAAAAAAATTGAGCATTTCATTTTCTCAAATGAAATTAAGTTTTAGGGTTGACTTTACAAAAATATTTATTTTATAAGATGAATTAATAAGTAGATTGTTCTGAGCCACTTTAATTTTATTTATTACCTTATGTAATATTCTTTTTTTTTCGTAATTTTTGCGGATAAAAAACATCGCCGAAAATTTTTATACTAGCCAATCTACGATAGCATGTCCTGTATTACTTAAAAATTAAGTCTTTTTTTTTTTAAATCGTCTCTCTACAATGATAATTGCTCCTTGGGTTTATTTATAATGGTAAAACGTTGTCAAGATATGTATTTTCTTTACTTTCTTTTATGATTTTATGAGTGTTTAACACCCATTCTCAATATAAGGGCTCAAATAATGTCGCCTCGTTTTCATTTAGAAGAAATACCACTGATGTAATTTTTAAATCAACATTATAAATAGTCATATAACAATGAATAAGAATTCATATAATTATCGATCTGAAAGGGTATTTAAGGAGTTCCAAATTCAAGTATAGTAGCCTATTTGAAATGTACGTTACTGTCGCCGAGGCAAATATTATGCTGAATACCCTCTGTGTAATATATAGTTTGGATTCTTAAGTAAAAATTTTCTGATAAGTTAAACCTTGTATCATATATATTTCTTTTCATAACATTAAATACATTTTCTTTGTGATAATAAATAATTTTTATTGTGCAATGTCCCTGTCGCTTAATTCTATTTCATCCACATTACAAGCAAACACAAATATTATACACCTGATAGTTTTGTTCTCCTTTATTTATTGATGGGCTAAATTTGAAATTTCAAAGGATTAATAACTCCTACTTAGATAATGTAACATGAAATTGAACAATTTGAGCAACTTTTATAAATATGTTTAAAGACATTTTCAATCGTAGAGATAAGAAAGAAATGTACGTTACCTATATTCTTCCATTAAGAATTTATATTAAGTAGAAAATATGAGACGACTCTGAATAAGCAACCCCTTGTATCCTGTAAACTGGCAAAGACGTTTTGCTTAACACAATTAAAAATTATTTTTTACATGAAAAGTGATCATTTGAAATGTACGTTACTGAAATGTACGTTACCATGAAATTCGAATCAAGTGAATCTCGCACGAATTTTCATGTATTCTCATACTTTCACACACTCGAATGTGTACACAGGAAAGTTTCAAAGTTTGGGGGTCGGCTAAATCCCAAAATTAATGAAAAGAAACGTTTCTGCTGAGGAAAAAAAATATATTAAGGTCAATTATATGTAATATAATTTTGATACCTGGTATATATTTCTGAGTACGAAACCTATATGATACATTTCTTATGATATGCAAGTTCAAATAGTATCAATATATTGCCTGTCTAACGTACGCTTGTGGAAGAGAACTGATTTTTATATTTGAAATGTACGTTACGTATGGTAACGTACATTTTGCGCATTTCTAACTGACATTTTTTTGATTTAGTCAATGCATTGCGTTTACACGAGCGAAACAAAATTATCGTTACAATACATTTGACAACTGACCACATAAATCCATCTAAATGTACCCCCAATCCTCGTAAATGTGGTAGATTATTACCACATGCTAGAAAATTTATTTCTAAGTGTCTTAAATTCATTTTTAGCAACCTTTCTGCAGTTTGTTTACTTTTAATATGCGCCTTTTCGTCAATATTAATTTAATTGTTGTTGATAATTTAAAACAAGGTATGCATAGGCTTATAATTGGTAAAAAAAAAAAAAAAGAAAAAGAAACAAAACAAATAAACCTAGAACACAAGACGGCCATGTACATTTCAAATATTGAAAGGCACAACCTACTCAGTTTTGTTTCAATCATTGCATTTTGGGTTATATTTTTCCAGATCTGCTGAAAAGTACGTATGTTTGTGTTTTGACAAACGATGTTGCAACATACTAAATGAAATTGTTATCTAGACTGTCGATGGATATATTCGAAAGAGATTTATGTTAAGTTTCAATGGCCAAACACAAGCATTTGTTAGATCATAGCAAAATACGTTGACTCTTATTTTTTTGTCTGTACCCTTGCACACAGGTAGAAGTAACTAGGCTACGACTGTTGTCAATTTCAGCGAAACAGCACAAAAGAATGGTAATGAACTGAGATGGAGGGGACTCCCCAATTATATGTGAAATGAACGTTATCGAAGTGACGTGACATTCATGTAGTTGATGACAAATAACCACGTTTGTTACATTATGATATTTTACATTACTGCGTTAAAACGCTTCATTGAAATGATTTTTATGTCAATAATTGCTTTTTTCAATAATCTTTCTTATTACTAATTTACATATTATTACAGGCTTGAAATGTACGTTACCTACTCATATTCTGAGGTAATCGTGTCTTTATAGTGGTGATTGTGACATATAACACATGTGATTACATAGAGAATCTTTTTTGGAATAAACTGAAACAAAGCGATGAATTTTTAGATGAATTTTAAGCTTTTTATTAAACAGAAATATATCTTGAAATGTACGTTACATTTACGTAGTTGTCTAAATCGGCATGGATATATGTTAAAAAAGACAGTAACTACAAAATAGAATTTTACTACATGTACATGTTAAGTTCCACTATCTATAGAAAATGACAAGATTCCAAACTGATCGCTCTAAACAAAACAGAGAGAAGAATTTAAAGCATATATTTAAAGAAATGTTTTGATACATCTGGATCAAAAAGTAACCTTTGTTTTTTGAAAGGAAAAATCAAACGCACGTTCGTATGCCGATAAAATATGTTGCTGACAGAGTTGGTAGGATGTGCTGGTGTTAAGATGGGATATTCCAATTGTGATTTTAATGACTACATTTTTTTTTACATATCTTTTTGGACATTGAAGAAAGAGTAACGTACATTTCAAGCTACATTTCTGAATAAAATCACCCTCTACTTTACCGTCTTGTCAGTATTCCATGTATTAAAATTTGATGGAAAAAAACCTGGATACAAAATCTTCAGATACTTTCTTTCAAAGGCAATTGATAGAAAAATTGTTATCTAGTACTTCATTTTTTAAAAAATCAGAGATGCATTTGTGCCCTTATATTGAGAATGGGTGTTAAATCGTCAGAATCCAGGAGCTTCCGGGGGCTTCGCCCCCTGGGCCCCCACCAGGGCTTTGCCCTGGACCCACTCGGGGCCTCAGGGCGGCCCCCAGACCCTTGCAAATTGGAGCATGCACTTCATTTTCAGCCTAGCTACGCCACTGATGTTTCTGTTCCTACAAAACAGTTAAACTTCATACATTCATAAGTGTTCAGAGTTCCCGAAACGCACCGGTCCACTAGGGATCCCCGTAAACTTTGAATGGGACCGGTAAAATCTTAATTTTATCGGTCAAAATGTCTGATGGTTTTTTTTTTTTTACAGACTGTATAACGTTTACATATAATCTTAACAAAATCATTTAATTCAATTGTCCTGACAATAAACAAATGCAAAACTAAAGGAATGAAAAAAACGTCAGGGGCGCGCCAGATCTTGTTTAAATAAAATGTGTAAAATTGTCTACTATAAAAAGCTACATATTAAAATAATAATTTCCATAAGTCTGGGAGGAAAAACAGTTTTAAAAACACTGTCAAACAAATATTTTCCCTCTGATAAATATATGCACTCTGTAGTTCTGACAGTAAAAAAATGTGACAATCTACTTTCGTTTTGAAGGACGAATTTGCAGGGTTGCAAGAGTTGCCTGCTATTTCTGCTTGATTACAGACAATTTGTTACCATTTATTATTTTCTCTATAATTTAATCTATTAGCATGATAATATTATACCAACTTCTGTATTTTTTAAATGTATTTGATAGCATTTAAAATACATGCGCGTTTTTCCCCTTTTCTAAAAATAGCGGACTGACTTGAATGTAGTAAAACGACAACAAATTCACTTAAGGGGGGACCTATGTCCGAAAAGTCTTTGTGTGAAATTTTCAAAACTTTGACATTTCTTTCCTGACCACTTGATCTTAATTTTTAGGTATTAAAAACAATACCTTTATATGCTTATTTTTACACAAGAGCACGTGCAAAAACAGTGTGAAATGCTAAAAATAGACTATTTTCAGACATTATTGTTCTACACCAAATATGCGCAAAAAAGAACCAAAAATGTCAAATCACATTCGAAATCAAAATGTATTTAATTTATATGACTTGTATCTTTAAAATGAAGGCAAATTCATTGTGATTCATCCCGCATGAAAAATTATAAAGGAGCACAATGTAAGTATCACCCCGTTTTTCTTGTCGTATTTTTTACAATTCCGACATGCATAACAGGTAATATCTTAAAAAGTCTTTGTGTGAAAATGTTGTAATTCATATTTTTTGAAAGAAATGACCCCTCTCTTTATATTAACAAGGAAAAAAGTATACCTTTATGATAAAATAAACGAGATATATGACGTTTTCTTTTATTTTCGTACTCTTCTGTCATAAATATTGACCTTTCTGCACTAAAAAAGGTTAGTTAGCACTGACAAACATTTGAATATAAAACTATTTTGCAAAACACGAGTATTTTGTTTTGAAAAAGAAATAATTTAAACAGATAAACTCTTTCCTTCTTCATTCTAATCACCCCCCCCCCCTTCCCCGTCAAAAACCAACACCTATTAAAACCTAGGAATGACTTTATACAATAAAATCTACATACACTATAAATCAATAAGTAAATATAGGTACAAGTACATTTCCTAATTTTTTCTTAGTTTTATCCAGAAAATACAATTAATGGTAATCATAAAATTAAACATATTTCCCTAATTTAAGCCGCTGTCTTTGCTGAATTTTATCTTATATTTTTTGCATTTTTATATCAACATATCATTGAGGTATTTCTTAACAAATGAAATTTCTATCAATTATCAACTAAAGGAAGAGAATTCTGATATTAACAAATTCCATAAATCAAATAAAGCTGTTTTAAATGATGAAAAAAAAAAAATCTTTTTGTAAACTGGGTACGTTTTTGATTAATAACAATGTTATGCCTATTATCATAGTTGCAAAAGTCAGCGGGAAAAAAACAAACGTCGCTATTGTGACGTCACATAACGCTGCTTTGACGTCGAACGACATAGGTCCCCCCTTAAATCATCATTTTCATGATAAATTTGCATATCTTTATATCATTAGTACATATTTTTAACTGTGTGGAGGTTATATAATAAATTTTAACTAGTCAGAAATATCGGACGTTTTCCAGGCTTTTTAAAACGAGTTTGATATTTTACGTAATATTTTTCCTGGCACATAAAATACCAAAATCCTAAATCCAAAAGAAAAAAGCCTGGAAAACAACATATATTTCCCACTAATTCCAAACAATCAACCAAGAGTTGTCATGTTGCAGATTTTATTTTAAAAAAATTTTTTAAAAATCTGTCAGAAAGGACATAATAATTTTATACGATGAATTAAGCGTTGGTCATCACACGCCGTCGGCGACGTCAAATCCTGCATACACAGGCCTTATAGAAAATATTTTAATCATTTCTTTTTTTTAAATCTGCATTTGCCATCTTTTTATTTACACATATTATTTATTATATCGACACAATTTCCAATCCTATAATATGTTAAATTTACATACAAAAAATTAATGTCAGGTAAATTTTACAACTGTCCGGTGAATTTTGAATATTTACAAGACAATTGTCCGACATATTTTTGACTAGTTTCGGGAACTCAGAGTGTTCTTTTGTTACATTCAAATATATGATAATTGAATTACAGTATCATTCAAGAAGAAATACATGTGCCTTACTACTATCTATTTTTTTAATAAGAAAAAATACACAAGCTTTAATTAAAAGACAGTTTAATGGTGAATTAAAAGTATGAAAATTTATTTTAGTAAGTGTCAATAAAATCCATTTAAAAACTTCACTATCATATGTTCAGGTAATGATCAGCAGTGTAACCCCCCCCCCCTTCAATTAATCCTCGATCAACTAGTTTGCTGAAGCTTTTAGAGTCTGGTAAATTTTTAATATTATTTTTATAAAGCTGTCAGAATTTCTATCTAACATGCAGACACACACAAAAAATTATTCAATTGACCAAAGATTTGTATTTACGCAGTTTAAAATCATTCTACACAACACAGGTGTCAAGTGCAGTAGAGCGTAACTAATCCCTATCGATCGTCTCCTGATAGTGAAATTCACGAGATAATCATGCTATACAAAACATTTGTTTTGACAAAAATTGCAATTAGAGCTTCTACACGGAATCAAAATCTAACAGGTGTGAAAATACTGATAGCCCTGTATTAGCTAAGTCACATACTCTCACTGTAAATATTCAAAGTAATGATGAATTAATATTGTAAATTACAAAATGTAGCTTTAAGCTTGAATTTCTTTAAGTTTAGCTATGGAAAAACTATTAATTGTGATTTAATTCTTTTAAATTTTCAATCGTCGATCTTGAAAAATAAGTACAAATTGATCTTACATGACAATTATATTTTTTCCATTTACACAAACAGAGTTATATAATTTTATATACGTATCTAAAGGTAATTTGTTTAATTTCTTTAATAGGTGAATTTTATTATCGGGCACATAATTACACAAGCGAATGTGAAAAAAATGTGACATAATGGGTATTTTAACAACTGATTAAAATGTCCTGCACTCATTTATAAACATTGATTGTCATTTATCAAATTGATATACCACTAAATTTTACAACCTAATTATACAACCCCATGTTGATTCCTACAAAGCCTACTTGCTGTGAAAATTTATTGAAATGACATTGTTAATTCCATTTTCCATTCTGATTTTCTCTCTATAGATTAAGGTACGATTACAAGTACATGTAAATGTGTAAAGAGTAGATAAACAATTGGTACGTATCTAGAATGAATTCAAAGAGAGAGAGAGAGAGAGAGAGAGAGAGAGAGAGAGAGAGAGAGAGAGAGAGAGAGCAATTATACTACGAAACAGGATAAAATTAAAGCCAAAAATATTCAATTTGAAAAAATTTAAACACGGAAGATTTAAAGATTAATCGGGAGGGGCGGAACAGGCGTGAAAAATCCAGAGATTTTGTCTCCCGTCGGAAGAATCACATGTATTTATGTTATGAGATATCTGCATGTATTTACCATAGATATAGAGAAAATTCGAATTAAGAAAAAACACGATCGTTTTTTGAAGTAAATAAGCCAAGTAGTACTCAAATACGGATTAAATTATGGAGATTTATTGACAGTTGGAGCATGTTATATGGAAAATTTAAATGGTTTGGATTTTTATAGCAAAAAACGAGTGAAAATACGTACCAGGTGTGCTTTGCACGTATTGCATGTGTATAAATAATATTATCTTTTTTTACTGGCCAACGGGGCGACCTTCATGCAGAAAACCACTAGCCCGACCCCCGGGTATCGGTCGATTTTCATTGCAGACCTCTGATTAAAAAAAGAACTATCAGTGCATTCATTATAATTTTTTTCACAAAAGCCCGTTTTCAATAGGTACATGTATGTGTTTATGTGGACTACAGATGTCCTTTCCTTGACTTTAAATAAATTCTACAACTGCATAATGTACGTATGAAGCATGTCAAACAATTTACAAAGCTTTTTTTCAATGTGGTGCAACAAAATAGTAAGACTTACTGCATTTGCTTTTTGTGTTTCCGAATTTCCTCACTGCTAATACAAAGTGTCCAAACACAGCTACTTCCGTAATCTGCGCATGCGCAGTTAGTTTTAAATATATGCGCATGCTCAGGTATTCGGAACTCCTCGATTCAGTTACCGAACTCCTCTAAACAGCAGATTTCTGAATGTCTGAGCGTTTTGGGCTAAGGACATGTCCAAAATTTGGACAAAGTCTTTGTGAGGTTAAATCTAATTTTAGGTTTTTCGACCTCATAGAGTAATTTTGAACGTAATTAGACCTCTTCATTATGGGGTTAACCCCACAGTACCCAAAAAACCCCACACTGCTGGAAAATACGTTAATTTTACCCCACAATGTACCTCTCGTAAGAACAGACAGACGGACGGACATCCCGATTACTATATACCCTCCCACTTTTCAAGCGGGTGGTATAATGACTATATACTCATTATTTTCCTTAAGGACCCACTACCGGCCAAATTGACAGCTTCAATCAACAAAAATGTTGCTTTGAAATCAAAATTTGTTGTAAGGTCCATACAGATTTTGTTCATAAACCTCGGCCCCTAGCCTGTTACAAATGATCTCCAACCCTTTACTTTGAAATAAAGGGAAAACACTGATACTAGATGTATTATGTTGTGTATGTAAGTACTCTGAATATGACTACTATGAAGTACATTGTGTGTAGATGACTTTTCTCTGTATTATGTAAGTACACTAAATAATGGATGCATGCCTTAAGTTTACAATAATATAAGATAGAAAATATTACAAAATCTTTAGTATATGAGTGAAACGGGTACTTTTTTTACTGGAAGCTTTTTCATTGAGTTCCTGGGAAGAACAAACTACCATATAGCAGGTTTTCTTGGCAGGTGTAAAATTTGGCATTTTGCCTGCACAAAGGTATGCCTATAATTTTGGCGTAATTTATTTTAGCGCACATAGAGTATCAGCTCTTTCCAGATAAACACTAAGAAGAGTACCAACTATTTTAGCGATTAAAATTTTAGCGGGCTACCATCAAAATGCAAAAATAAGCTAAAATTAGCACCTGCTAAAATAACCCACTATATAATATAAGATCCAAAGGTCATAGTATTAGCAAAAGACACTATCAACAGCTACTAGTAATAGCAAAATACATCAACAGCTATGGTAATAGCAAAACACACTATCAACAGCTCTTGGTAATAGCAAAAGACACCATCAACAGCTATGGTAATAGACACAATCAACAGCTGCTGGTTTTAGCAAAAAGACACTATCTACACCTCCTACACCTCCTGGTTGTAGCAAAAGACAATATCTACAGTTATGGTAATAGCAAAAGACACCATCAACAGCTATGGTAATAGCAAAAGACACTACCAACAGCTATGGTAATAGCAAAAGACACTATCAACAGCTCTTGGTAATAGCAAAAGACACCATCAACAACTATGGTAATAGCAAAAGACACCATCAACAGCTATGGTAATAGCAAAAGACACCATCAACAGCTATGGTAATAGCAAAAGACACCATCAACAACTATGGTAATAGCAAAAGACACCATCAACAGCTATGGTAATAGCAAAAGACACCATCAACAGCTAAGGTAATAGCAAAAGACCCATCAACAGCTAAGGTAATAGAAAAAGACACTATCAACATCTGCGGTAATAGCAAAAGACACTATCAACAGCTATGGTAATAGCAAAAGACACCATCAACAGCTATGGTAATAGCAAAAGACACCATCAACAGCTAAGGTAATAGCAAAAGACCCATCAACAGCTAAGGTAATAGAAAAAGACACTATCAACATCTGCGGTAATAGCAAAAGACACCATCAACAACTATGGTAATAGCAAAAGACACCATCAACAGCTATGGTAATAGCAAAAGACACCATCAACAGCTAAGGTAATAGCAAAAGACCCATCAACAGCTAAGGTAATAGAAAAAGACACTATCAACATCTGCGGTAATAGCAAAAGACACTATCAACATCTGTGGTAATAGCAAAAGACACTATCAACAATTATTAATAGCAAAAGACACTATCTAAAGCTATGGTAGTAGCAAAAGACACTATCAACAGCTATGGTAATAGCAAAAGACACTATCAATGCAGACCATTGAATAAAGATACGGGTTTCCTTTGTATTGGAATGTAATGAATATACTGACCTTTTTCAGGTCCTGTGTGTGTGTGCAAGATTGGTCTCTTATCTGTTTATGGAGCAATTAAGGGGAACTAGTGTGTGCATCAGTGAATTTCCTCAATTGTTATTTCAACAAAGATGAATTGTGACATTGTGCAAATGGTGACATCCTACCAGGTCTCATGATTTGATACTGAGGGTTTGGGAAATACTGCACTTTGGAGGTGGGTACTTATTAGACACCTTGGCATTATTTTTCAAACCAAGGCACCATGTCCATGATTTTAATGCAAAAACCCTTATATACATGTACTCTCTATGTTAAGTATACTCAATAACTGGTATGTACCATGTAGAGAATACAAGCAGTACATGTATGTGCCATATTAATATGCTGTATACTTTATTGAATGAATACAATCACTTTGTATTGTGCAGTGTCCACTTGGTTAGTATAAAGCAAGTTTACTCTTTTATGCTATGCGAAAAGAGTAAACAACTGACATCTACATGTATATGGATATGTATGCTCTGTAGCAATTAATATCTTAGATAAGCAATTGATACCAATTTTTTTGGCTTAATCTTTTTCTCTTTAATGTAAATTTCTTATAGGTTGATAAATGCAATTTGCTAAGTGTATATCCTGAAACCACAAAGCTGCAAGTTAGTCCTTTTTATATATTTCCTTTTGGTTATTGTCCTAGAGTAACAAGTAACCTTGCTAAATCTTGGTATATGTATCATACCTTTCTGTTCTGAGAGCGGAGGAGAAATGAACTGAAGGATGGGACAATATTATCAAGTAAATACAGAAATACCATTATAATCTGCAGGCACTAAAAATACAAATACAACATGTCAATAAATAAAAGTTTAGAATGATTAACTTACTTATCAAAGTCGTCCTCATAATTACTGTCTAGGTCAGTCATACGCCGATAATGTTTGGCCAGCTTTGTAGAGAAGATAATGCTAGGTATAAAGAAAAAGATGCACCATCCTAAGGCAAACCAGAAACCATTCTGTAAACAAAAGACAAGCATGCATTATTAAGAAAATAAAAAAATCAAACTCTAGCACCTACACATCTGGTCATTTCAGTCACTCCAACAACTGAGATGTCTCCAAGCTGATTCTTTTTGCAAGAGAATGTTCTATGTATAAATAATTTTTAAAAGAAGACTGGCTTATGGCAAATATGTTGATGATACAAACATATCAACAATCTCAGTTGAAGTCAACAATTTGGAAAGTTTATGGATTGATGCAATGACCTTGTCAGCAAATACAATCTGTCTCTGAGTGGAAAGTTGAGCTGAAGTGACCAAACCAAGAAATGTGTGACTGTATCAAGATTAAGTCAAATCTCACTTTCTGTATTTATTTTATAATTTAGATAAACTGAGTTTAAGTATTTGATCTGATAAATTCATAACATCAATATCATGACCCTTGAACTTACCAGGGTGTCTATGGTATATTTACAAAGTGACATCACAAACAAGGAATTGTAAAGGTTCCATATTGGTGTGCATTTTCCAATCTCATTATTCAGCTACAAATGATATCAATATAATTTGATTTGTATATAATGGATAAAAAACAACAGATAATGCACATTAAGTTTTCAGCAGAAAATAAAAATGTTCAGACTTTGAAATCAGATATACATATGCATTATCATCTAACTGAAGTTAACATGATTTACTCTTAATTTGCATGATTACTCAAGGTGTGAATGATTTATCTAGGTTTCCAAGATTTTACTTGAGAAGTGCATAATTCATTGTGTCTGATTAGTTGAGATGTGCCTAATTATCTAAATGTGCATGATTAATTGAGGTGTATCTGATTTATAGAAATGTCTCTGATTTTTTAAAGGGAGCATGACCAGAGTTATTGATGTGTTTCATGATTTATTCAAGTGTGTCAGATTCATCAAGATGATTCTGATTTAAGAGGTGTGCCTTAACTATGTGTGCATGATTAATTGATGTGTGCAGTATTTGGGTGTGTCTGATATATTGAGGGTTTGATTTACTGAGGTGTGTGTAACTGGACTTAACTTACTGCACCCACAGCATCGTCTATAAAGGAGGTCACCACTGACAGAATCCTGGAGGCAAAATTTTTGGCTTCCTGTACAGAGTTGACCAATTATTAAAACATATATTTAACAGGATTCCTTTTAATTAGTACATGTACCATCTATTAAAATAATTTATAAATCAAAGGTAGTATAGCAGGGGTGTGCAATTACCATTGCCCGACGCACGGGGCTACCAATTTTAGAGGTTGGGCTATCTTAAATCTATACTGTGTTAGCCCGTCGGGCCAGTAAATCTATAACAAAAGTAAACATATATTTACCTCGACTGAATTGAGGTACGAATTAACTTTTCTGTAAAATCATAATCTTTAATTCGTTTTAACCTAAATGCACTGTTCCTATCGCCAGTCGTCTCAGTGACTATTATAGTTGATATATATAGGGGGAAGTACCTGACAATTACAAAGCGCAAACCATTATTTGTTTTATTTATTTCAACTTGAATGTTTTTTTTTTTTAACCTTTATGTTATACTTATATATGTATTGTTTTCGGTAGTTAATGGGCTAGTGACTGGCAACCTCGGGCTAGTATCTTTGTTACCGCCACTAGCTCGACGGGCTAGTAATTTATTTTTGTAATTGCACACCCCTGTATAGCTTTGTATCTTTTGAAAAAATCAAAAATAAGCTATGCAGTTTCACTGGATAATAGGAAAAACACAGTTACATTCAGAATACAAGCATCTGTTAAAAAGGACATTATTATTTTGCTTGTACTACACAAATGCATTATAATACAAGTTTCATGGAACACCTTATTCCTTTTTCGTGAATGTTGGTCAATGCTGTTTGTTTTTTTAAAATTCAACAAAGAGAACAACCTCTATTCAACCTTTTATTGTTCTTTATAGATAAAAACAAACAAAATGTTGATGAAAGTGAATATTTCTCAACTGCATGTATCAGCATGTAAGGTTTGATAAAAATACAAATCTTGAATATAGTTTCTTTCAAACTGACCAAAACAATAATTTAAGGTCAGGGTCAAAGGAAATGTCAAGGTCCAAAAAGTTGAAGCAATTGAATCAATATGTATCAGCATATAAATATTGATATTATAATGAATGTAACTGAGCTTAACACAGAGTGAGAGAGGATGGAAGATGGACATGACAAACAGTTTAAGCCCCAACCACATTTACAAGTCTTTAGATTTAATACTTACATTTTTAACAACCTGAGATCCGTTGGTCTGCACAAATGTTTCGGACACATTAAAGTTGTTGATACAATTATCAACATCTGTCTACAAACATAAATAAAGGAATACATGTAAGTATTTAAATTTGGTGTACTGTACCAATATAATAACTTCAATGAAAAAAATGTATCTGCAAAGATGTACAACTAGATATTGAGAGTCATTCAAGGAATATTTGTCTTCAAAATCAATAGATTAATAAATATTTAATATTCCCTCAAAAAGGGTAGACAATAAATGTTTCTCTGTACAAAGGTACATACACATCTACACAATCTATTCATAAACATGAAAACGGGCTCAAGAAAAAAGTAACAAGTTGAAAAGTTGTTAATTTTCAATATCAAACACTGAATAAATGATGTAAAACTCACCTCTGTTCCATTGACTGTTGTTTCCAGGGAGTTTAAATCAATCTCAAGCTGGGACTGAAAAGTTAACAAACAAAAAGTCAAAAATATTTCATACTTTTTAGTAAACAAATGTTATACTCTTTCATTAATCATGAGGGAGCTAATTGTTTCTGATGAATAATTACCAGACTGGCTGTCAGATTAGCCAGCTCATTGCTCTCTATAGACCTAGTTCTGGTGGCCAAATTCTGCAGTTCTGCCTGTAACCAAAGAGCAGTTAAAATTCAAATCTGTTCATACAAAGATAACAATTAATATCAGTTTCAAAGATATTGAAGTTTTAGATGATCTTTTTAGTTTCAAGAGCTTTTAATCTCAGGTTTCTGTTGAAAATAAAAAGTCTGACTCTACATAATTTTAACAACTTAAATATTACTTGCAATCCAAAACTATTAAGTCCACAGGATAATTAGAAAAATAGGCTATCTTTGGATTAAACACTCAGGAAATGTAAAAATAAGAAGTTTGGGGGATTTTTTCCACACAAGGAAGGATTTTTTCGAAAGCCCCAGACTAAATTGGTAGACTAAGTATAATCATTACACTGTCCACAAAAGCTTTTTAATCTACAGTTTTGTACATACTCGGGTTGCTGCATTACAGCTAGGACAGGATGTTGCAAAAGCGTCCAGCTCATCAGCGAGGGTAGATAAATTCTGTGATGAGGCCGACTTACTCAACTGTAAAAGTCATAAGGTGCATGTAACTTAAATGAACCAAACAACTTAAAATCAAAGACATTTTGCATTTATTATAAGACAATATCTTTTATTTTCCTATCAAACCCACAGAGGCTTAGTTTCTTTTACCTCCTCCCTGAACTTTGTAAAGTTGACATTGACGGAATTCTTCAGTTCGTTCAGCTGATTCAGAAGACTGGGAGTCAGGATCTGAACAGTGCTTAGATCAATGTTAATCTTGTCCACCTCCGACTCTATATTAAGGTTCTACAAATCAAAGGAAAGGGATGAAACACAGACTGCACAGCGATGGTTTACAAGGTCAAGAATTTACCATCTAACCTTACAAACAAACAAATAATGCTTTAAAAAGAGTTCATAAAATTAATACATGTACCAGTACAGTACTAAGTGAGCACTGTAGCACCAATGTAAATAATAAACTGCTTATACTGCTTATTGAACAAGGCAGGAAACACGTACGTGATATGTGTACTGAGAACTTACACTTGTGAAGTTAGTTAGAGTAGTCACATCAAACAAGTTATTTAGTTTTAGTGCTGTGTATGCTGCTCCACCAGCTTGACAATCTCTGTGAAAAATCAAGATCATTCTGTTATCAAATGTACAGACTTCTAAAGAAAACATAGTGACACAAACTGTTATGATCTCAAAATACAATACATTCAGTTAATATCAAGTGATACAAGAAGAACCCAACCACAATTTCCAGATAACATTCAGATGTGTGAAAAAATTGGAGCTCTTGATTCTGTAAAATTAGGGCAATATCTTATACATCCCTCCCATGGTAAAGATTTACTATTTCACTAAAAATATAGCTATCTACCTAGTTATTAGGTTCTCCAATTTTTTAATGCTTAACATGCTTAAGGTCCACCTACCTACTGTTAAAAATACCTACTGTTAAGAGAGATAACTCTTTATGAGATATGTTAAATTGACATTCCTTAACTTGCCTAGCAAACGTAGCTACACATGTAATTATAAAATAATACTCACTGCAACAGTCCCTTGATAGTCAGGTTAATAGATGCGTTGTTAAATAAAACTTTACCGAGGAAATACCCCTCAGATGTTCCGTACTGAAACTTGTATATCTTGTCATCCACCAGCTGTCAATCAGTAAAAAGTAAATGTTTATGACATGCAAATTTTCCCGAGGATTAAACACATGTACTTATGCACTATAGAATTTTATTCAGCATTAAGAATACATTATCTTGCCAGTAGAGTGGACTTTTATTAGTAATCCCATATAATATTTAACCTAACTTGCCTAATTAATAAAACCAATAGCCAGATGTGAGATATTTTTCTGATCATTCTAAATAAATAAAATATTTTTCATTACCTCATTTTATTATAATAAATGCTTAGCAATTTTTTTTTTTACTAATTTAACATTCCAAACTGAAATTTCCAGACCAAGATTTTTTTATTTACTTTAAATCTTTAGGACTAAGAAAATGAAAAGTAATAATTGTTTAACAGAGTGAAAGAAAATTTATACCGTTTCTAGATCATTGAGAGAGGAGTCAGTAAGAGGTTGACAGACAAATCGTTCTAGTGGGCTCCCAACAATAAAGGTCAAGGTCGTCAACATCATCAACAGCCAGGCAAATATAAACACAAAGCCCACAGACCTGAAATAGAAGTTAACATAATAACAATCAAACAAAGGTCAAGGTCGTCAACAGCATCAACAGCCAGGCAAATATAAACACAAAGCCCTGTGCACAGACTGTAATAGAAGTTAACATAATAACAATCAAACAAAGGTCAAGGTTGTCAACAGTTGACAGACAAATCGTTCTAGTGGGCTCCCAACAATAAAGGTCAAGATCGTCAACATCATCAACAGCCAGGCAAATATAAACACAAAGCCCAAAGACCTGTAATAGAAGTTAACATAATAACAATCAAACAAAGGTCAAGGTCGTCAACAGTATAAATAGCCAGGCAAATATAAACACAAAGCCCACAGACCTGTAACAGAAGTTAACATAATAACAATCAAACAAAGGTCAAGGTTGTCAACAGTATAAACAGCCAGGCAAATATAAACACAAAGCCCAAAGACCTGTAATAGAAATATAACATTATTACAATCCAGCACTTAAACACACAGCCCAAAGATCTGAAATAAATAACATTATAAAAACAGATTAGCAGTCTTTATGGATGGATATAAGTTACTCAATACCCCCACTCCTTCCTACAGATATGGGGTAGGGGGCATTATAAATTGTTTGTACACTCTGAAAACTTACGCCATGAGCATATTTCCCGCAGCAGTGCCAACACATCCTCTCTCTATTGGTAACCTGTCTGAATTCTGGCTGAATGTTCCAAAACACAGGCCTAGCAGCTGTAACAGGACTATTAACAGGACGATAGAAGTTAGGCCTACACCACCATACCACCTGTAAACAAAGAAATAAGAAACTAGGGCTAATTGTAACGGGGACCGTTACAGATGTTCCCCAAACGCTCCCCAACTCCCTTTTGGTGCCATATTCCATGTAAGCCTCATTAAATAAGACAAACTCTTCCTACTTTAGTCTTTGACAACGTTTTTCCAGAAGTATTATAAGTATATTTCAATTTTACCATTGCACGCGTGCGCATGTGAATGCATGTGCGTAATGACCATATCATCTTGTCTACACTTTCAATGTATTAAAATATACACAATATTTAAGCATTTATTCCAAAAATATTTTTAAAAAACGCTCATTTGAGTGTATTTTAATTTTTCTCATTTCACGTGCACGCACGTGCATGCATGTGCATAATGACCATACCATCGTGTAGGAGTCTATTATGTCGATCTATGTTCTAAATCCCATTCTGTTTGGTTGAAAACTAAGGAAGTTATAACCATTTAAAGTGTAAGCCAATCAGATTGCAGCGCACGTGCAAGCACGTAATTTGATGAAAAATATTATGTATCATATTGTAGGATATCTTAATGCATGACTATGTTTAAAATATCAAAGCATTTCGTCTAAAAACAAAAAAGATATTAAGAGTTTTGTTTCAGCCAATCAGAGCAAAGTACTCGTGCAAACACGTGCTTGCATGTGCATACTGACCATACCCTCTTGTAGGAGTCTATTATGTCTGTCTATGTTCTAAATCCCAGTCTGTTTGGTTGAAAAACAAGGGAGTTATAGCCATTTAAAGTTTTAGGCAATCAGATTGCAGCGCACGTGCATGCGCATGTTTTCATGAGAATTGCGATATATCATATTCTAGGACATCCTAAAGTATGCCCATGTCTTAAATTTCACAGCATTTCGTCAAAAAACAGAAAAGATATTGAGATTTTCGTTTCAGCCAATCAGAGCGAAGCGCACGTGCATGCGCGTGAGTTCGTGCTAATTTGACAGTGTCAAATTATCTACACTATTAATATATCATTATATAATGAGTTTCAAATCAATTCATTGAAAAATGTAAAAGTTATAGCTACAGTCAATGGACAAAAGTATTCGTCATTTTAATTGGCGTTGTGTTAATCGCGATGCCTCTTTCGGCTATTTTTTCACTTGCGCTATTTATAGAACAAACGAAATAGAATGAAACTTTCAATAAAGAGACTGGGGAAATTACGTCACGATTTTGTGACGTCATTTTGTCACTTGTGTGTCTGTAAACACTGGAAAACATCACTCGAAAACATGGGGCGAAAATCAGTTGAGTTGAGCACTGAGGTAA